GGAGGTCTGTGATTCGTTGACTAAAATCGTCGATAGTGGGTCTCGTTGAAATCTCGTTACATAGGCATCGGCTCAGATGTAGGTAGGGCGGAATTAAAAAAATCATCAAAATCAAAGTAAAATAATAAAATAAAATAAAAGGGCATTAATAACAAATATAATGAAAAATAAAATTAAAATAAGTTTATAGCCAAAATAATTAAAGCCCGTACACTACATCAGATTTTAATCAGATTGTCGGTAGTTGTGAATAGTGATGTGTAATTACTGGTAGTTGCAGATAGGGATGTATAGTTAGTTGTAACATTTAGTTACAGATACCTAGTTTCAAAAACGCAGTCATTTATAATAGATTTAATACAAACATGAAAATATCACTATCCCTTAAAATGACTTACATTTTTGTCTGTTACTAAACACACATTTTTAGCACCAAGATTATGAAAGTCCTGAAAAGAAAATGAAGTGGTAAAATTACAGCCAAAGATTTATAATTAACAAATTGTGAGATGGTCATAAAACTACCCTACATTTATAGAAATGTAAAATCATTTATTTTCACTGGAATTTAATTTCACTATTGTGATGCGATGAGCAATTTCACTGGGCTTCAAGTTCATGAACTTGGAAGGGGAAAAAAACGAGTTTTATTGTTATTCTTTATGTTCACCTGGATTTAATTTAGTTGATTTTACTTATCTGTGAAAATAGCGAAATTAAAAACCAAAGCATAATTAATGTGTATACAGTATGCAAATGAGTATTAAGTCTGTCGAAGAAATGGTTACTTTTTGTCTCTGCCATCTTCTTTAGCGTCAATACCTATTTGCAAAGTGCTTTTCACAGTTTTGAATACCATAATCTCACCCTTTTCTGTTTATTAAGCAATCAAACTTTTTCAGATGTCCATTGCATTCTATTGGTTAAAATAGGTTCACATGAAACTTGAGAGATTATGAGATTTTACAGTACTACAGTACTCACCATACCCACTTCAGAGGTTACTCCTTCTCCATAGCGGATATTACTACAAGCCATCTATAATAGAACATAACTACAGATATAGAATAAATTTTTCAATCTCCAATAAAATGTCTCACACAATAGTATTTGAAGAAAAATATAAGAATATATTTTAAGCATTTTAATCGTACACACCACTGCAGTTTTTTTTTATCAGAATGAATCACTTACTTCAAAGGCATATTCTTTAGATGGACTTGATTCTGTTGAACATTGTTTCATATTTTGCATCACATTGGCAGCACCACCATGTCCACCAAAACTGAAAGCCTGTGAATGGGCAGGACAGCGACATCTGAATAGACAATGATAAACTAAGTAATTACCCATAATACATTGCTGTTAGATTTGTTTAATCCTTTGCAATAAATAAGTAAGTTTGGCCAAGTTTATATTCGTTAACAACAATAATTTATTTCGGAAGGGGGGGTATGAGTTCCTGATATAGAAAATGTCGCAAAATTGTGCATTGACTCATTGTTTTTTTTAACTTAGTTTTAAGATAGATTTTTATTTCCAGGTTGATGTTACTGTAAACTTTGAGTTGAACTATGGGTAGAGGTTTCTTTTTTATTTATTTTTTATTTCTGTCTCTGACTATTTAACCAACCCCCTCCTGAGTTTCTATTTGTCAACCCCTTCTGAGAACACATGCAGTTTCCATAAGGATATCAGGATCAAGGGGGCCATGACGAGTTATTTTTGTGGTTGGTCAATACATGGACGTCTTCACGGCGGAACGACTATGTCCCGTTATAGGGCACTATCCTTGCTCAAATTAATGAGCCCTGTATTTGTACGTGTCACATCAAAACAGGACAGTTACAACATCGTTGTTATAACATTTGCAATGTATGTATAATGCCACGTTGACACGAGATGTAGAACTTATTGATCTCAATCAGACCATGTTACGTAGGTACACATGTACAGCGCTTATGGGTTGGTACACAGTCCCTCAACACCTGAGGGACTGTGGTTGGTAATAGGATCTTGCAGTCACCGCCCACAACAAACAGATGATTTATCCCGGAAGACAGCGGTACGAGTTCCCGATATAGAAAACGTCATAATTAAACAACACATTGTATTTCACTTCAATGGTTTCAAGCTACGCAGATAGTTTTTTTTTTAGTTTTACAGATTTACTTACGATGCACTGCCAACCTGCCGCAACAAATGAGTGACAAGTTCTCTTGCGGAAGCCATGTTTTCAAATGCGTAATTTGCAGACTGTTATTCGAAAATACAACGATGGCGCTGTTCGCATGAATATTTAGGGGGACGACGTTCTCTGCCGGGAAACGCGAAAAGTAAAAAAAGCTTTAATTCACATTTGCAAAGCAATTATTTTGAATAAATTTCAATAAAATTGTAAGTATTTTTCAAAGTTTGCAAATGAGCGGCTGCTATTGGTTGTAAGTCCATCACTAGGTCAGCTGATTCATTTATTCGTATTTGATTGGTGAGTGATTGATTATCGTCAGAGACTCTGTTAAAACTTTCACGAACAGAATAACAGGATATTATTTTAATTCGTTTCCTACACATTCATAGATACTGGAGGTAGTTGTCTACAGATCATTTTGCCTGGATTTTTACAATATGTTTTTTTTTTATTTATGTTCCTCATCCACAAAAAGCCAGAAAATAGAAACAACTAATTTTCACACAGAAATAGGTCAAAAATCCTTGAAAACTGATTTAATACTATTTATCTTGTATCTTCAAATTGTGATTGGAAACATATCAAAATAGGTACATTATCAGGATTCTCATGGGGAAAATGCATTTTTTCTCCAACAAAATATTTGACTCTTAGCAAAAACCTCAAAATTAATGAAAATTGTACTAAAATGTCAAATATCTGCAGACAATTTTCTGTAATTCTGTAAAGGCGCCATTTTGTTTCTGGCTGAAATAATTTGCATACTTTTACTATAGACATTTGTGGCAAAAACATTTTGCAAAAGTTGCAACTTAAATTTTTAGAATAACTTCAGATTTCTTACTTTGATAGTTATCTGTGAAATACACATTTTCAAATCATTGTCGAATTTATAGAATTGCTTGTAAATGTTAATTTTGTATTGTAGGCGCCCATAAAACAAACTATGTAAAGCACGCATCTTTTGTTCTGACACACCAATGCAGTTTGACAAAATTGAATTTGTGAAATCTTGATTTCCATACATAGATTTTATGATCTCTGATAAGCATCAGTCAAGGGAAATATCTGAAAACTACACCAATCAGAATGATTATATGAAATCAATTCAATAGTAACCGGGGAACACAACATTTTCAGACTCTCAAATTACATCTGCAGAACAAACTGTAGTTCAAGTTGAACAATTTTTCCATCAAATATATGCTTCTGTATGACTGCTTCAACATAGGTTCTTCATTAACAACAAACCCCACACCTCCCCTTCAAAATTTCAAAATACACCACACATCTCAGTCACAATGTAGAAAATTGTATTTGTGATTATGTAATATAATTATATATAATAATCAGTAAAATTTTTAATTTTTTACATGCTTTATTTTTTCTAAAATATGGTATGAGACACAACTGAAACTATACAATGCCCTCGGCAATTCCACCAAAGCCATGCTGCCCACACTTCTTGCCAGCGACTTTACAGCCCATAGTCAGGGCCTCTGATATAGTTTGTTTATTAACAAGTGAGTAAATAAAGCCAGCATTAAACGTGTCTCCCGCTCCCAATGTATCAATCACTTTGTCAGGCGGGAACGTTGATGAATGATATTTGACTTTAGTAGTGGTTTCCATTGCCCAAGCTCCGTGCTCACCCCACGCACACACTAAAATAGCACTGTAAAATAAAAAAAATATGATTGTTACGTTTTTGTATTTTCTGGTAACATTAAAGCGGGG